GGCGTCAAAAATGCTGCTAGCTTCTGCCACACATTCAACACCTTTCCAATCACCCCTCCCACCCCCGAAAAAATCCGGAAATAGCTCCAATGGGAGGGCGGATTGGTAGGAGTACAAGCAAATTTTCTTTCATTGTTTCATTAATTACATTTATCCAAAACAGTACGTCGTCTTGACGGGTCGGCCTTCAAGATTAAGATTCAGGTTGAGCAGAGTACCCTCTATTTCGGGAGACGAGAAGAGCGTCGAGTGCAGACCACACACCACAAGTGACGACGGCCGAGAAAAAAGTGGCTTTTTTTTGGCCGTCGTCACTTGTGGTGTGTGGTCTGCACTCGATGCTCTTCTCTTCTCATCTTTTGAAATAGAGTAGGGCAAATGGTACGGTCCGATGTCACACAACATATTGTAGGTCCCAATCGGTGCATAAGTTCTTGTTGTTTCCTTTTGTGAGACTCTTTCTATCAGATTCCACTTGACGGGGAGAAAATTTGAACCGTAAAAATTTCGTTGGATTCATTTAATTAGACCATTCCTGTGATAGTTACCGGTCCCAATTGTTCCGCCTCCACCCTATAAAAGTTGTAGCGAAGCCTGTCACTCGAAGTAGGATTCCACGAGAAGGACGAAAGTCGAAGAAAGGGAAACTTATACAGTGGAGAGACAGGCGAAACTCCCAAGGGTGCGGACCGACACACAATTCGCATCGAAGGATATCCCCGGCGATCTATCATGGCCTTCCTCGCGGCGCGACTGGCACGGAACGCCCACCGACTACCTAACCAACCGCCGCAGGTCTCTAGCCGTTTAGCGGAGCGCAACCATAGAAGAGGGCAGCGCCGATTAGGGTCTCATCAAGCGGAAATCAACGGGCAAGGAAATGGTCCCATTTCTTGGCTTCTAGGCAATTTTTTCGTTTTTTCTTTTCTGGTGCATCACTGACCATCCCTGACTTAATTTCCAATGGGCTGCTTTTCATCGTAAATAAAGCCTTCAATAAATGATCCTGTTCAGATCCTGCTCGACAAGAATTTCTCGATGAAGATCCTATGAAAATCCATCATCCTTCTGGTCGGCGGTCGCTAGTTGGAGACGTTCTGAGGAAGCCCAGTGTGCTTGAGGAGACCTCATTTAACATAGGTATAGTCGAAATCTTTATAACTCAGAACTCAATTTCAGTCGATATCAGATATTTACATTTTCGTCTTCATTACTGGTCTATTGTTTCAGCAGAACATCTCTCACCGAAAGACTACGTTTCCAAGGCGTACGCTCAACGTTTGTCACAGCTGAAGATGGAGCTCGGTATCACAGAAGAAGAGGCCACTAAGGAGATTGCCGGAAAATACTGCAGGCCACCTCCACTGAATTCTGAACAAGCGATGTTCTACACTGAGGAACCACCACAGATTATCGATGGGAATCGTTCCGAGGAAAAATCGATAAGTGATGAGGCGCTAATCGATGCGATGTTCAGTGAAGTACTGGATGGTGAGGCAAGTGAGAGGACGAGTGTGGGAGCTGATTCCATCTCACGGAAAGTTGCTCTCCAGGAACAACAGGATACGTCGAGCTTGAACGGTGGCAAAACAAAGCTCGAGAAATCGCAGAGCCTCGATAACTGGTATGATCACCCGGCAGTCCATGACGATGAGGAAGATGTACAGGATTACGTCTCCGACCTGCTCAGCCAATCAATGAGCGAAGCTATTTTCTCGGCATCAATGAAATTAGAAAGAAACCGAGTACAGGGAAGAAGGGAATGTTGATCACCGATACGTCATTCGATAGGAAATTAATACAAAAGCTCAAAAGTGAAAGCGTAGAGGAAGAGGGCGAGCAGGAGTCCGACACTAATAGCCGAGAAGGAAAGGAGAACACGAACACTAAGGCAGAGGTGGATCAGGGAAGCCAAAGCGAGGACCCGATTCTGAAGGCGGTATTCACTTCGAGCATCGACAACCCACAATTCATGGAGTCGGTCATTTCCTATCCTTCTTCGGTGCATTCTCCTCACTACACCTCATCAACGCTCACAACTCCAGGCACTGCCAAGACGAAGGACGAACCTGACGTCTTTTTCGCCTCTGAACCTCCTCCTTCTCATGCCAACGAAGGTGACGCCACTTATGTATCAAGCGCAAGTGTGATGATGAACGACACGCACTCGTCCTCCGAAGGCGATTTCGATGACGATCACATCATCAAATTGGTGTTTTCTGAACTGCCGGACACAGCCAAACGACCACTTTCGAAGACGGTCGAAACGGCAAGAACACGACCGCCTAATATGGAGACTATGGAGGAGGCAATGGAGGAGTCATGTCAGACGCCGAACAGCTCAGTGGATTCTGAAGTGAGTGCAGTTTAATATAAGCGCCCATAGAATAAGCCGCATGACGAATGCCAAAATAAAAGGCTAAAAGGATGAAGCTTTCGCCGTTGATCAATCCC